TCTTTCCCTTCTCCCCTCCTCATTTTTTCTCTTTCCTTCTTTTCCCTTTTTTTTTTTATGTTACGTGCCTGCAAACGTGGTCGTTAACGAGACAAGCGACACGACAACACGACGAAATCGTGCTGTTGGCAACAATTAAACGCGATCCCTTAGCCGGGTAATTAATTTCTTCCGTAAATCATGGACGAAACGACTTTACAATCGATACTGCCACGCAGAACGACTCGTTAGTTTATCGGTAAACAAATTAGACGTGAGAATGCAATTGCACGAGATCGCTGCCGGCTCGTTAGGATTTCAAGAACGGACGCCGCTTTTAACATTATTTCCCTGTTAATGGACTCCGTGACTGGGATCCTCGACGTTCATTCCTTGTGATGTTGACTTTTATTGGTTCGTTTCTTTATGGATGAGGAAACGATTAGAATCTTATTATTCATTTACTTCGCTATGTTTTTTACTATATATTCTTTTGTCTTCTTTTTGTTTCATGTTCTCTAACGGTGAGTATAATCGTCGGAATATTAGAGTTTTTATTTAATGTTTTTATCATTTTAAAAGAATGTCGAGGTTGATTCGTATAACTGAAAGTTTAGTAGGATGCCTCGGGTTTGTAAATGTTTCGAGTTTAACGATCTCTCTTGTTGACAAAGAAAATTCAAAGGATGAAGCAACGAGGCAGTCAGACATTAACATAAAAGTGGAAACGTGTGAATCGTTGAAATCCTCACGAAGGATACGCGCCAGTAAATGATCCTTTAATATTCCATTGGTGTTCCTGGCCAACTGGAAGCGATAATCGACTCCGAATGTTTAAGCAACCACAAGAACCTGCGCTCCTGTGTTACGTCAGGGACGTGTACGAGGATTCAGGTACTCGACTGCGAATCGATAATTAGCGTCATTATTCCTTAAGTGATGTGATTTCCCATTTTCTTTTTATCCACCAATTAAATAAAAAATTGCTACGAAGACGTTTATCGTATTTCTAATACATTCCTTGATGCAATATCTGAAATTTTAATAGAATATATGAATATTTCTTAGTGGAATAATTTACGCGGTATTGCAAAAGTATGTGAACACTTTTTAGATGGATATTAGAAATTATTAAATTATCAGAGAAAGTTATCTCATCCAGAAAACATACAGAAGAATCGTGTCAATACCTTGAAAAAACACGTTGGAAATTCGATCGAGGAATAAGATACAGTTCCATTACTAATAACTTGCTATACGGTGGCCACGGATATAAGTGCCCATTCGTTAATCGTTATTTTCAAGCAACTTCGTTGGCGACCTTATAATCAGAGACACTGACAAATTACCACGTTTCGCTCGTCGTTGGTTCTACAGAAAGAAACGACACCTTCTGGGAACCCATCATTAGGCGCATATACGTGCCTCGAAACGTGTCTTTATCCTTGCCATAACCGACTGTACGATACAGAAAAGTCGTTCGAAAAAGTTACGCGCTTCTTATAAAGAGTTATGTAACATATCAGACAAACGTTTAACAAATATTTTGTTACTGTTAACGCGTTGGAAAGCTTTTGTGTATTTCATATATATCGAGAGAATATGCGTTCTGAGCTTGTAGAAAGAGAGAATCGTGTAGACGTAAGATAGGGGGATGGGTTAACAGGTGCATCGCAGCGACGCCACTTAACCAGCGTAGATAATTACTAATCGTGTTATGTCATCGTAGTTGCATGGTTGACTCGTCTGGACGACTTATTTCCACCAGTATGGAAAAACGAATAAATAGTCTGAAACACGGTACAAAAAACCGGTTGATTAAATTTAATTAAACGTTACTCCTTACTCTGGAAAATTAGATTAGATTCGATAAAGAATACTTAAGCACTTACTGTTAACTTCTGTTATAAATGTTATTCTTCTTTATAGTATAATCTCAGTTTTTGCGTAAAGAATCTTCGACCGCCAGAACTTTTTGGTGCGTGCTAGCTCTTATCGTTATAATTTCCTGAAATGATTCATAAAATTTTATGGATATGTTGATAAATAGTCAGACAGGTGGCAAGCGATAGGAAATGTTGATTGTAAATGTTTAAATTGAAATCGCTTATGTTATCTTTGTAATAGTCTTAAATTAGATTTAGCACTTAAATTAGCTGAAGCGAATAATAAATGGATTATATGTGTATTATGTAGATACTAAAGCATTGATAAATCAAATCAAAGTACTGATAAGGAACACAATAAAATTGTATAATGATTTACATACACTAGAATTTTGTAAAAATCTGAATGTACTTACTGTATTAGAAAAGTATGCAAAAAAGACAAAAATTCCTAGGAAAAATGTACACGAATGACATGAAATGTTCCTAGAAAAACTGTTTCAAAAATTTATTAAAAATTAATAAAAAATGTAATTAAGAAATTACAAAAGTTTTACTTACAAGATTCATAAAAAGTTCATTTGAGAAATCCTTGCAGGGAATTCTATTCAGTGCAAGCAATTGCAAACTGAGAGAAACAAAATTTATGTCTTTTTTCCGTTACTGTCACTTGCTTGCAATTAGTAACAATATCCTACAATTAGTAACAATAAGAACGTGAACAAAAAGGAAATCGAGTTAACTAGAAGTCAACAGAAAACCATCAGGAATTTGCCTGCCGCGAGAAATAGGAAGGAAAAAAGAAGAAAAGAAAAAAGGAAAGAAAAACGATTCGATGCAATCGAACGCGATTACAGCACAATTTGACGGTCGCGTGCGTCGTTTTCTCGAATCGCGTCCGAGGTGGCGCCAAGCGAGCAATCGTCGCGCGCACGTTCCTCGACCGTGTTAGCATTCAACGCGTAACCCGGATTATTCTACGCTACACCGCGTTGCACTCTACCTATTACGCGTATATTGCATCGCATTGCGTGCACGCGGTACACGGCATAACGCATTCTCGTGGAACGCGGGTGCGTGCCATCGATGATGGGGCGCCACCTCCGGCAGGACTATCTTCGTAGATTAATGGCGTCTTCCTTTGGAGGGAATTCCGTTACGAATTGACAAGCCTCGACGGGTCCTTTTGACACCGTTATATCTCAGTTTTAATCAGCCAATCTTTTATTTGCTTATCTTGTACGTTCTATGACCATGGATATTGAATTTGCTTTCATAACACGTTGGAAATGTCTCTTAAATGGTATGTTTACTTCTATTTATGTACACATGTATAAGCATTCTTCAAGATATTCGTGGTTATAGAGGTTAATTATGATCTCTCGTCTAAAAATTGTGTAAAATTCTTTTACTGAGTTTTAAATAGCTTTAATTTACGAAATATGTACAAGAAGAAATATATACGAGAAGTATAAAATGTCACGCAGAGCCACGAATGTAGGTTATGAACATAGGTAAATCAACACATCTACTGGATTCGTCTTCGACTCGAATTGATTTCGTGATAATTCGTGTAATGAGAGTTTTATTAAAGAAATTTTATGTCACATAGTACTGTGGATAATAAAAGTCCAATTACTAGTGAGAATGTGTAAGAAATTAAATAGTTGTTTTATAATTGACGGCATAAATTTGTAAGGTTAAGAACGTTCATTTAACACTTAATGATTTTTCTCTTTTTTTATGTTCTTCAGTGTCTATCGTACGCTATCGTGAAACTGTTGAAGTTAATTGAATTAAAAGGTAATAAGAATGATTTATATGGTCGTGTTCTTAAGTGTCGTATCTTTTCCTGTATCGAACGATTATGTTTATTCAAATAAGTGCAATACGTGAAAGGCACGTAGCAAATGACAACGCGAGACGACGACGATATTTCACGGATGGTAATTAGTAGTGCATTTCTCGGTGATACATTCAATCATTTCAACGAGGGTAATTACTGACACGGTCCTACGTTCAAGATCGTAAATCGGGTTTCACATTCCGCGCAATGCAAATGCATGACGTAATGATACAGGCGCCTCTTCTGATGGATTTGAGGCGCCTTCTTTACTAGATAGAAACGCCTCCTCCGTGTTAAAGACGCCACTGTTCCAGACTATTCTGTGAATCATTCGCATAGCAAAGAGGGTTTTGATTCAAGAATTTTTTGTGTAAGTATTTGCTTCAAGTTATATAATTTAAAATAAAATATAAATTGCAGATTTACACTGACACTTAAAAGTATCCTCGTACTCAAAGAAAATGTATTCATATCAATGCAACACACGAACACAAAACGTATAAAGAGTATTTTACTATGGCATTATGGCAAAGTTAAAAAGGAGAATAAACTGTAAAAACCAACGATTTTTTGAAGATAAGTGATAAATAAAATAAGCTTTGTAAAAGATTAAGAGCATAATAAATATTATAACAATCAATATTTTTTACATGTTTTAGAATTTCTATGGTTATCATAAAGAATATGTATTTTTATGAAATTTATCACAACATTAAACAATATAAAAATAAATAGATAGATGAAGGCTTATGGGCAATTCCTGTGTGATAAGACAACATACTTTGTATTCTGATAATACGGTGAGAGAATGTAGGTAAAGCCATGAGTTAAAAAATATTCTAACTATACGACTTCAATGAATATTTAATTAAAAAGTCATTTGCATACTGGTCGTATGAGTTATAGAGGTTTAGTTCTACATATAAGGGTGTTCTGTTGTAAATTTAGTTTTTCTCTCAAAGGTAGCGTAACGAACACCAATTATGGTTATAAGAAATGCGATTCGCAGGCATGCGTAAGAGGTTATGAAAGATATCGTAAATGCGTCAGCAATCTTCCTGGAACATCAAACGATGTTGATGGATTCAAGGAAAATCGTGAAAGAATTAGTCATCCCGAGAAATGTCGACCAATTTTAATTTTCATTCTTTCTTCGACATGTCCGTTTAAAAGGAAGTCATAAAAATAACAAACAGTTGACTGTATTTAAGAGGATTTGTAAAATGATTCATGGAGATTAATCATCGTAGACGAGTGACATTATTCACGATACCAAGTTTGGGATGTTGGAAATGATTGTGGCATGGTTCAAAGATAACGGTAATATTTTTGAACGACGTGATTTAATTATTAAATATGAAAAGAAAGATATTGTAAGCGTATCACTATTTTAACAGAAGACATCGCTAAAAATTTTTTAAGAAATATTTCTGCAAGATATATAAAAAGGATCTAAACGATCAAATATTCTATATTTAAAGAAATATATATAAGTATTTTCTATATATTGTTATATTAATTGAATTTAAATATGTTTATTACCTTATTGTACTAGTACTAAAACCTACATTATTGTACGAACAATATGAACCATTAGCATATTTACTCTGCATCGTGTGTGGGTTGTGTGTTTTAGGAGGAGTGCAGGAAAAGGATAGCTGAGTGCACTATGAGTGACGGTGCAAGTACACCGGTATGTGGGAGCGACGGTATTACGTATTCGAGTCAGTGTCGGGTCATCTCGAAGCAGTGTCAAGGCATGTCTATTCTTATCAAACACACTGGCCCTTGTCCAGGTAGGATGATACATTCTTCTCGTAATTGCATTAGTAATTATTACCGTACTTTATTTATATAATCACATTAGAATTATTGAAAATTCTTTTTATGTAATTATACAATTATAAAATAGTATCATGGACAGCAATTATTTTTTACAAGAGTAAACTTGGAAGTGAGACAAGAATAATTATTAAGAGATAGAACTTTGAAATTTGTTGTTTTTATTAAGTATATTTATTAAAAAAGCTAATGAAGAAAGAGAATTTAAATACCAAATCCCTTTCGCTCTTTTTTATAGAAACTAAAAAGATGTTCTTAAAAAATTCACAGAAACAATTATTCTTGACACATAAAGTTTAATAGAAATAAAAACTTGAGATTATCCAATTGCTGTAACAGTGAACTACTAGTGGAACACTTCTGCATTATTTTTTTTATCCTCCTGTGCAACAAGTTCAATAAAAATTGTCACGCACATCGAAAGACGCGTAGTTCAACAAAACGATAACATCTAACAAGGAACCACGTGATTGAACCTGTCCATCCAGAGACACCAGCATGCTTGTCCGCAAGATTGACCGCCAGGCCGGGTGCACGACCAGTCTGTCGTCCGGATGGCACTTACGCACCGGTGCAATGTCACGAGGAAACCGGGTACTGTTGGTGCGTGACGCCGCAGGGCAGACCGCTGCCCGACACCTCGGTAAGAAACGAAAGACCAAGATGTGTGAAAAAACCTGGTCCCAGATCTACTGCTTCCACCAGGAGCGGCCAAAGGAGGCGCTCGCCGAACTGGAAACAACGAAGGCAGTACAGCAGTAAGCATAGGAATACGTGTGATCGAGCAGAAAAGTCAAAGTTCAATGGGAACCTGATCGAAAATTTCAAGATCGAGTACAGGCGGACGAACATCTCTGCGGATGGTGAGGATTGTCGAATAAATATCCTGTTGCATGCTAAACGTAGCAATAAGGACATTAGGAATCATTGTCTTTTTATTTTTATATTTTAGATGTCTAGTTGTTACAGATAAAATTCTACGAGAACTGTTGAATATATCGTGAGTGATGTTAAGAATTGTGAAGTAAATTTCTGTTACAATGAATTATTGAAACAAAAATTTGATATTTCAACGTTTATTTTTAATTTTCGTGGGAATGATAACAAAAAAATATCCAAATATAGTTTTAAAGAAAGTATTTATTTATTATTATTGAAAAAGTTAAATAGAGGTATCTAACAAATTTATTATATGTTGTACCTTTTCATTATTAACTTACTTTTATTAATCCTTATTCAACAGGTGACAAAAACGTGGAACGAGTACTGTCGTGGAAATTCGTAACGTTAGACAAGAATGGGGATGGCTATCTGGATAGGGCAGAGTACAAGGAATTAAGAAGGCTCGCAAAGAAGGCGGTAAGGCCGAAGAAATGTGCTCGCACGTTTGCCCGCACGTGCGACCTAAATCGGGATTTGAAACTCTCCAGGCAAGAATGGGGTGCCTGCCTTGCGAACGACTTCACTCGTAAGTTTAACACGTGGTGCACGTGCATCTCAAACGATAAAGGGGAGAATCTTGAGGACCTCTTCGGCCTCTTGGGTGACACTTGCACGCTCCAACGATCTTCGTCCCTTTCGGCGAGTTTAAACGATTATTGAGAAGTATCTTATGATTGATACGATAATATTTCTTCTTTTTTTTTTCTTCGATGTTTCAAAAGAGTTTTCATCGAGACAGATTGTTGAATTCGGGATTATCAATTCGAGTTGCAAATACCGCAACGCCGCTTTCCTGGTAGACGAGAGTTGCCAAGGTCACAGGCGAGGCTGTTGAGTGCATAAATCAATTTTGAATACGTTGATATTTGCGAAGCGGCGCCACGCTGTTGCGCCACGAAAGATTGTCTCCTCTAGGATCGTCACATCAATGTACAGAGTGATTGTAAAAACTAAGACAAGCATTGTAGCATTCCCTTTTAAACGAATGTAAAAAGAGACAGTGAAAGATTTTGTTATAATTACATTACAAGATAGCATTTTGAGGATACAAATGTACAATCCTACGTACAGTGAATCTTCAATGAAAAATTCTCTTATTCGTGTAATTTATGATCTGAACTGCACAATGTATTTCTTAGATAATCGATAAAGAACACAGGAAGGGAGCAAGATCGTTTACGTGCAAGGATGAAACACCATAGTGTTAATTTCGATATACATTCGCCACTGTTATCCACGATAATAAATTCTGCCTTAACTTTTAATTCTTATTATAAGACAATAAAATAAAATTGTAAAAAGCCCCAACATGAATACGTGGATACGGCTTTTATGGCGATCGTAAATCGGAATTAACATCACTATTTGTACTTAACGCTGCCTAACACGCGCTAATCTATCTACTCGCGTGGCATTACAATCGAGCAATTACTGCGCATGGTGCTCCTCTTTCCTCGTTTCCTAGGTGAAGGTTGCCGCTGGGTTGCTTTTAAACGTATACAACTCACAGATCCATGTCGAATTCTGAATCTTTCCCTTTCGTTGCAGTAACTTCCATTGAAAAGGAACAAACGAGATAAAAAGAGAGAGAGAGAGAAAAGAATGCAGTAGTTACAATCAAATGCGAATTTGTTGCGCTTCTAATCACCGGTGATTAAATTACAATCACATAGAAGATGTACACGACTTATTATTCTTTTACGATCAGGCAAAGCAAAGTAACTCTTGCAAGAGAAGTGTAATCTATTCGATCGTGTCGAAAAAATTCTCGAAACAGGATTCCTACGTGGCGTAGTCTTCTTATTAATTGTTAGAATTGTATCCATTTGCCTTTCTAAATGAAAATTTGTCATTCTTTATTATTTTTCTAGTTTCCATTCGATAATCGTTTGACATTTAAACATGGCAATTGTACGCAATCGTTCGAGTAACGTAAGAAACGATTTCGCACTGAAAGAGGGAGTCTCGCGTGTAATTTATTTCCTCTTGTGGTAACCTGCATTTGCATAAATATAACACGTGTAAGATATTTTGTTTCGTAGCATCTCGTGTTGTCTTTTGTGCATCCCTATGATGTCTTCTTGGCGTATTGAATCCTCGATTGCGTCGTGGAAGTATTCCTCTTAATTAAATATTCAGTCACTATACTACAAATTTTATTTCACTGCGATGTTTCTTGCAATTCAACCATATCGATAATCATTTTTCCTCATATCTAATTACAATAATACAGTTGGACATTTTGTAGACGGGAACCTGTTGCAAGTCAAAAACTACAGTGCTCAAAATACATAGTAAACGCTTGGAAATAACAAATAGAGAGCAATTCCTTGAATGGCAGAATGTTGACAATACTGGTAAAAATAGCAAAATTAGTTCTCTCCGCAATATACATAGTATTTTACCCAATAAGTAAAAGTTATATCGCCTATATTCTAGCATTCGCTCCCAAAGGGTTAAATTCAATGGACCACCGCCCTAATCTGGAGAATCAAGATATCAAAAATGAAATTTGACTAGATCTGCCTGTGAATCTGTTACGTGATATTACTCGCATTTCCTCCGGTCCTAAACTTTCTCTGGAACAGTATAAAGCAGAGCATTGTGGAAATATGCGGTTGTAGTTATTCTTCAGGGGTTCTCGGACCTGGCAATAAATAAAACTGTTGCAAAGCATGTCAGTTATAGCGCATCGTTGGAGGATAATACCGGAAGATCGTCGTCGCGGTCGTCGTCTCGGCGTCTAAATCGTGGTATAAATTACAAACGGTGGCCGGGACAGGATGTCGCGCACGCCAAGGGCCGTCTTCTATAGTCGGCCCGCTTAACATTCGTGAATCCTGCCGGAAGTTTGCCCACACTGCGACCAGCTACTGTGGAATTGAAGCAATTGACCTCGTGTACATGCTCCGTACTCCCGGTTAGCCTACGAGAATGACCGCCCGCGCGACTTGTCACTTCGTAAATCCGCGCCTACGCGAACTACAATGATGACTATTTGAAACTATCCTCCTGGGTTATCGCATGAGTCCTTCAGAAAGAGGTTCCAACCGAGAGTCACAGTTGTGCATGATAGGACATTGAATATCTGGATAGCAATTGTGTGAATCTGTCATATATTACCATTATCTGTTGGTCTATAATAAAATATTTATTTGTATATAATAAATCAAAGGGTTGTTTAGGTATGAATTGTAGATCTGATCATCTTTTTAATTTTTATGACTAGAAAAATTAAACATAAATGGAACTATTCTTTTGGTTTCTTTGTTGTGATCTAGAGTTGATTTTCTAAGTTATAAAATATAATAAGTAGCTTCTCTATCAATATTACATGACGTCTAGAATTTCGAATTTTTCAGAGCCTCGATATTTGTCGAAAATTAAAATAGTTTATCGATTTCGAATACCAAAGGATTATGTAGGTACTACTTCTGAGGAAACCACTTCTGGGAAATTGTAGTGTATTATTTTACCGTAGAACGCTGCTTTAAACCTCGTGCTTTTTTCTGTCCTTCAAACAGGTAGTTTGCAACGATGTAAAAGTGTTGGAGTAGAAGTACTTAAGCGTAGCTTGGTCGATACGTAGAATCGTGGTCAATTGCATGTTAAGTAATCACGTTCGACTCAGGATTCTTCGGTATCGACACGTGTGACCCGGGAATAATCGGGCCTTATAACTTCCAGTTGTCTCTATCAACTTTGTAGAAACATGTTTCTTCTACTCTTATTGGTCCTCCGTAGAATTTATTTCACTTTACTCGTAATATCTTCTTTGAGAACATAGAATAAGAATAAAAGATTGGTGTTCCTTCGGTACACTGTAAAATAACACCTTATGCACGGACGAGCATGCACCTGTTGATTCCTTGCGTTGAGGTGCCTAATTGAAACGCGTAGAAACTTAAAAACTGCGCTCGGAGAAAAAATATATTATTCTGTATCACGTCAAATTTTTAACGATCAGAAATCTCAGAGCATAAAATTGTCTATGTTTTCAAGTTTTAAAGCTCTAGAGTTCCAGTAAAGTTCTACAGTTTTGGAATTCTGGAGTTCAGAATTCTAGGCTTCTAGGGTTCTAGATTTCCAGACTTCTAGAGTTGTTGCGTTTTTAAATGTTCTTCTCAATTATTGTAAGAAATTATTTATAAAAGTATCTATAGACTGTCTCTAATTTTTCAACTACTTTCGAACATTCTCTCCGAATGCACATCCTTTAACGTGTACATCGCATGGTTTTCACTGATGACACGCCAAGTAAGCGCATGAACTTCCGAATCTTCTGACAATTTGCTACCGGTAAACAAACTAAACAGGAATCTTGTACCATATGAAAAGGAAAGAAAGAAATTACTCTCGTAAACGTAGTTCTGTTACACGTAAGAACGCCAAAAAGTGTTTGGGGTACGCGCTAGGGAGAGAAAGAGAGAGAGACTGCTGCCTGAGAATACTTAGTGACCACCCTACTATTCGATGTTCGCCACCGCTCGCTGCTCTGCTAGCAAAACCTGCGATGCGCGAATGACAAAAAAACATTGTACATATAGGTAAGGCCGGTCGGCTGAGTGACATCATTGTTATCATTTAGTACGTTTGTTCTTGTCGCTGAACCCCGCAGACGAGCGCCCCGAGGTCCCTGAGGCCCAGAGGACCCGGGTTATGGACCAAGGTGAGTCCTAGTTCTGCACATCAAATCAGCACTGTCACGTCTATTCTGCGTTATTTCTTTCTTTCAAATCTTTTGCTTACCATTGTTAACTATTCGCCTGTTGCAGGGATCCTTGTAAATCTTTTACTACTTTTATCACGAGCTTGGGAAATTTTTTCATCGAGAAGACATTCATTTCAACTATCTTTTCGTTTCCTTTTATTTCATTTTTTATCAGCCTCTGATTTTTTTCTCGTAATTACCAAATGTAACAAGGTATTTCAACGTGTTCTACAGACTTCCTTAGTTAACTTGTTTAAAAAAAAGTTGTTTTTACTCCGAGAAAGTTACCCAAGGTATATATGGAGTGAAAGAGATTTACGGAAGTGGAACTTTGTAACCTAATTGTCACATGTTTTTTAACGATCTCATTGAGGCATGAGATAACGCGAAACAAGATTGATTACCTTGCCTTCAAAAAAATTGAATTGCAAATTCTGTTATCGTGAAACTTTATGCAGTTTTAAGAAAGAAAGTTATATTAACCCCTTACCCTACGATTCAAGTTCCGATGACGCGTGCCATTATCAACAGAACAGTCAGTCACACTTCGAGCCGTTTTGAACGCGGTGAGGAATAACACCTAATTAACAATTTGTAACTTGTTTCGACAGAAAAATATCGACGAAAATTATCCACGTGCCCGATCCGTGTTGCTTACGTTGGACCCTATCTATGGACCACGCCTCTCGCCCGTCACACTCGTGTTTGACCCGATCTCCTTACCACGAGTCTCGCACGATATTGTAGGCAAAGGGGTTAAACAAATGAAATTCTATAAATTGGAAAATATTTAAAAATATTAATAATCTTCCATTATCCGACTTGAAATAAAATACTTTATTATAATGAAATATATAGAAACAACCTCTGCACGTATCCCTGTAACAGGTATACTAAAAAAACAAGTTCTTTGCATTCTTCTTATTCTTTATGTTGCTAAAAATTATACATATTTGAAAAGGAAATGTCAATTTCTATTATGACAAACTATTTAAGTATATTCGTACAGTTTCAGGGAACAATAAACTAATTGTTTTAAACAATCAACGTGGCAATGCTCCTTTTTCATAAGCACGTACTTTTACATTGATTCTTACTAATAAGAAATGGCCTTTTATAATTATTTTCTTTAAACCCTTGCGTCACCACCCATTCGTACATGTCGCGATCAATATAATTTTATGAAGAATTATTCTTGCTAAAATAAAAAAACAGCAAACATACTGAATTATGTTTTGTTATTTGTAATACATTTTTTCTAATATTACGCATGGGCTCTATTAAAAAGAAAGATAGAAACATGTGTGAAAAGTATGCGTCTGTGTGGGCGAATCTTATTATTTGTTGGGTGGTGACGGTTTTTCAAAATTATCCGTAAAAGCAAATATGCGACACCGTGATTACCAACAACTGTAAATACAAGTTATTTTTTCCAAATTAACCACTGCATTAACAGATCGTACGAAACTATTGCAGATTGTACAAAGAAATAAAGTTTTTCACTGTGTACACTGACTGGAAATAAAACTTCTTGCAGTTTATAAAAAGAAAAAAAGAAATATGTCCTTGTACATAATGATTAACATTAATTAAAAAATCTCGGTGTATGGGCCGACTTTATTGGTTGCATGGAAATAAAAATTTGATGGTGATGCTACTTTCTGTTTTTCACAGTATTGAAAGGCAATCCTGCCCCAGTGCATTCTCGACCAACATTTGATGATCCAGTCGATACGAAAGAAGAGAGTGATGGTGAGTGTATTTTTCTATGTTTCTTTTTTTTTCTAAGAACTTGGAACCTGTTTATAAATTGTAATTAGGAAGTTAAAAGTATATCTTAGATAATTTAGATTCATATAATAAGATGAAATTGTTTTAAGTATGTACAGTATTTTTAACGAATTGTAAAATACCGAATAAAATTTACAGCAAACGATTGTTTAACGGACAGGCGATCCGTATTAGAAGACGAGAGGCAACATTCTCAGAAGAAATTTTATGTACCTGAATGTACACCTGACGGAAGGTACCATCGTGTGCAGTGTTATTCAGGCTATTGTTGGTGCGTGTATCAAGATACTGGCAAACCAATACCTGGGACATCTTCCAAAGATCGTACTCCAAATTGTAATCCAGTGCCTACTCCTAGCAGACCCATGAAAGGTAATTAACAATAAATTATATTATCGTCTCGTGTCTTGCTACATATTTCATTTAATAATTTATACTGTGATAAGAATATTTTAAACTTAATTAATTAATTAATTAATTAGGCTGTCCTGAACAGAAGAAACAGTTGTTTCTACGAGATTTAATGGATTTAATGCACAAAAAGATGAAGGCTTCTGGCACGGATTCAGATGAAGCGACGGCTAAATGGCAAGCATCTAAAGAGGAACAAATAGCCACTTGGCATTTCGTCATGCTTGATAAGAATAAAAATAAGGCAAGCATCTTTCTAATGACATTAAAAATTTGTACATAGAAGATCAATATCGATCAATTTAATAAAAGGAAAGAAAGAGATATATTTGTAATTTTTTCTTAGGTTCTAGAAAGAAAAGAATGGAAAAGTTTTCGCACAATGGTGGCAAATAACAGACAGCTTCAAAGATGCGGCAAGAGACTTCCAAGATACTGTGATATCAACAACGATAGGAAAATTAGCATGACAGAATGGTTCAGTTGTCTAAATGCTCAACGCCCTACAACACGTAATTATTATCATAAATATGTATATTTTGTTAATTTCAAAACACATAACTTTTACAGCAGTTTCTTTGAATTTATGAATATTCAACTATTTCAGCTGAGAGTACAGAAAAAGCATCAACAAGTAAACCGAAAAGAATGGGCCCTAATCCTCTGGATCAGTTTCTTAAAAACGACGACGATTAGAAGTGTGTGTGATACGAATGTGTGTTCGCCATTTTATTGATACATTATAGTGATCATTCATCTAACACATGAATTGTAACAACGGGACTTTCAAAAGAAAGCTAATTACTGTGTTAAAAGAATTTTATTTGTATTTTTATATCTGGTGATAAATACCACTCACGTCATTTTATTTTTAATACGAATCATATTTCTGTACCTCACAGATATTGATAATGCGATAGTGTATTTTAGCATAATAATGATATATGTAGTTGTAAGAATAAAAAATAACAAAGTATTACGGGCATACAATCGTGTACATATTTTTTGAATTTTTTTCTTGTTTAGGTGTTGTGTACTTTGGTGCTAAGCACCTTCTCGTAACAAAGATAATGCAGACATATGAAATTGAATGTACAATTGCTGAATGCGCTACTAAACTCGCTAATTGTCTCGCTCTTTGTTGCATTAGTCCTACACGCAATTGTTTTATGTAGGTTTACTTAGTTTTAGCTTCATACTTTCTTAAGACTTCTTTCATAACTATAAACTATATAACGTTATCGAGTCAAAGATCATTGTAAAGTTGAAATTTATTTACTGAAATAAATTCTGTTCGGATATCATTTACTCTGCAAACTATTTTTTGAAGCAACAATTAATAGTTATCTTCATTTTGAATATTATTTTTACCAAATTTGTAATTAACTGGCAGTAATTACTATCTTGTACTATTTCATAGTAACCACAAGTGTTATATTTATGTAAAATTTTAAATAAAAATGTTAAAAAATTTCAATGTATAATTGTAAAATTAAAATAAGAATGTATATAAAATTCCATCCTATCTTTGATAAATATTGAGAACTGTGTAAAATATAATACACAAATAATTGAACAAAAAGTAAGCAAATATTTCTGGAAATATCAGGCTTAAATCAGAAGACTGCTTCCGTTTGTACAAAATTTATATATATATGTATGTATGTATATGTATACATATATATTATAAGATACATATATATATATATAAGAAAATTTTACATCTTGATTCAAGAATTTGTATAAATCAAAATAATTTTAACTTAAAATCTTATGATAATCGATGAAGTTGAATTCAGACATCATATGACTGTCAAAATTCTAAGAAATGAGAAGAGTGTGGATGATAGAAGGCAGTTTACATTTATATAGACAAAATATATCTTAGAAAACACGATCTTGGTAACCACTGTCAGCCATACTAGAACTTGGTTTTGCAGGTCCGCCAGGTACTTGATGATGAGGATGACGTATGTGGCCCGGACGTCTTGGAGGAGCTAAGTACTCGAACATACTTTGTGTATGCTGTGCCAACATTTTGCTAAGATCACAAGGCATTGGATCAGTCCAGAAAAAATCATGATTTAACGCGGAATCTGAATCGAATCTTTTAGATGGGTCAAGAATTAGTAATTTATCTAACAAATCACATGCATACGGGTCCTTTAGATATGGTTTCAATCTGTCTTTAACCTGTATAAAAAGATTTATTTTTAATGCATAGTTCATGAATATATATCAAAGAATCTGCTCCAAGTGAAAGAAATAATTACCTTTCGTTTCTGACCTTTAGGTAAGTCCATTTTATTAAATAATTCGAGGTTCTCAACTCCAGGCCACACTTCAGTTGTAATCGAACCGCACAATTGAGAAATTAATATTAGTTGCTGTTGTTCTGTATTTCCTTGCATTATAGGTGATCTATAAAATTATATAAATAAAAAAGATGCTTGATCATGTATAATCATAAATATTTGTAAAAATATTATTTAAAAATATGAACCTGGTCCACATCTCAGCCATTATACATCCTGCACCCCATAAATCTACAGGAGGGCCATAGTTTCTATCACCAAGCAAAAGTTCAGGTGGTCTATACCAAAGAGTAACAACTCTGTTTGTATAACGATTTGGTTGACCATTCTTATTTGCACTAAATGCACGAGCTAACCCAAAGTCAGCTAATTTCAATATACCATTTTTTGTTATTAAAACATTTGCAGCCTTCATATCTCTATGTAAAATCTGTAAAAAAAAGATGTAAATTACTATACAATTACAATGTATATTATGAAAATTACTATTTTTCCTTATTGTAAAATTTAGTTATTTTTACCTTATTACTATGAATATAATAAAGACCATTTAACAATTGTTGCATAACTTTCTTAATTTCTCCTAAACTAAATTTGACATTTACATTTGACAATAAACCTGCTAAGTCATGTTCACAGAAGTCAAAAACAAGGTAGAATGTAGAACGGTAGCGATTATATTGTGTTGCTGAAACAAAATTGTCAGTTATTTACTTCATAATTATTGTAAGAAAATATTATTTCTATCATGCAATTATATTAAATATTTACCTTTTGTTCTACATATTTCTATTAAATTTACTACATTTTCGTGTTTTAGTAACTGCAATATCCTTATTTCTCTTAAAGCTGTTATAGGAAACTGTAAGAAAAAAAATCATTGTTAATGTTATATTGCATTCTGATGTTGAAGAAAAACAAAATGTTCATGTTGTTTATTTCCACATCTTCCATTAACTTTCATTAAAAAGAAAAATGAATTTTTATTTAATAAAATCCCTTACAAAATGAACCAAAGGTAAAGTAATTATTCTTTTGCAAATATAGTACATTTATATAAATAGATGAAGTGGACAAAAAACGGAAAGGAATGCATTGGACGATCGAATATTTGAACGTGTACATACCCCTTCCTTTTCATTGTCCATTAACACTTTTTTCATAGCTACGAATTTTTTAGAACAATTTTTATCTCTAGCCTTGAACACCTCCCTACAGAACGATCATGAGAATTGAGAAATAACGAATATTTTCACTCGTGCATGATAATAACCTAAAATTGAATGAAAATTTTATGTTAAGCTTACCCAAAGGTACCTTGTCCAATTTTTGCAACTTTTTCATACTTCGATGATTCGTCACAATGAGGAAAGTCAAATTCTTCGATATATTTCTCTTTTTCCTTCGTGTTCATCTTCGTTGTTCATCAGGTAAACATAACTCTTGCAACATAACAGCATTGTAGGCAAAATTCATGATAGTCCACAAAAGAATTTGACAGGACATTCATGTACCTAACCTCAAAATAAAAATTGATCTCGATTCGCGCGTCACCTAGTGGAGCTAACGGTAGACAGTCTCATGCTTTCGTATTGAGAACAACCGTCGCATATTTATGTCTTTTGAACAACAAACAAGCGGACGTTTGATCGTATCATACCGTTAATATCCGCCGAATTTCGTAGCGGACGTGTCGGTCAAAATGTGCGACAAGATTATGGTTCATAATACGGCATAATTATGATATATTCTGACCGGTGTTCGAGAACCGAAATAATGCAAGGTACGTACATATGTACGAAGTACGATCAATAAATTATTGAGAAAGTCTTGTCAAAAATATATTTAAAAAAATACTCCAACCTTAAAAACAATTTTACGGAAACATTTTCATACATTTAGAATTTCCCTGAAATATATATATACACCGTGTCCAATCGTACTAACCCGGGTATGTTACTTATAATATCAGAAAGTGAGTCGTACTTAGGATACATACGAGGATGCGTTAAATGACTGTCAACAAGGTGTGTTCGATCAATGTTTTTCAAAAATCAAAAAGGTATATTTTTTCAATGATATACTTCTCATTGTGTTTTATAAATTATAACATAGAGTTTCATTAATTAATCGATTAGTTGATATTCGACATGCCTCGGCAGTATAATCTTTTTACATTCAAAGTTTGAATTTCTACTTTTGAACTGTGCTAGAATTACACGTTTATTTTTGGCTTCCGCATTTTAATTTTATTCCAATTTTCAGGTTTATGTTTCAAATGTTTAGTAATACATTTTACTCACGAACTTATATGCGATTATATATTATATTTAAGGTTAAATAGAATAAAGTATCACATAACATGTTTTTATTAAATACTATACACTTTTTTGAAAACATTTCTAGGATAATGTTATATAATAATTTACAATTGAATATATAATCCATTAGAATATTATAGCATAATATTATATTATATATATTGAAATATAATTATTCTTTAAAAATTGAAGACATTGTAAAAGGATTACTAATTGCTATGCAAGAAGTATCTCTAGTATTGACCTTGAAATTGTTATGTACTTTGTCAGCAATATATATGTACATACAGTAGAGAATCATTAATGTTCTTTTGGCTTGACCATTTTTTTTTTACTTTGTATATATAAAATTTAACAGTTTCCAATAATATTGAATTACTGTGATAAAACTTACACAAAAATAAAAAATATTTGTGCGTGAACTGCACAACAAATTATTGCAAAAGAAATAAATACTATATATTAAACATAATATTTTTTTATTACATATAAATTAATATCTATTTTAAATAATGACCATATTTACGTTTATCTGAATTTTTTATTTAATTTTTTTACATAATTTAATGCATTAAAGGTGAACAAGTATGAAACATTAAACATGTCTCATGGCTGGAGGCAGGGGCAACAACAAGCAAAGTGGAAATTTAGACAGAATACATCAATGGCTCTGTTGCCATCAACTTTATGCTTCTGTCAAGCCTGAACCTCCTTTCAGTGAAACATTTAAAAAACATCAGCATATAGAAACAAACCGAATTATTGCAAAAAGTCTTAATGAACTGCAAGATAATATTTTAAGGTAAACTAATAATTTCTTATTAATTTATGAAATATTAATTAGAACAAACAATAATTCAAGAAATAATTCATTTAAGATAATTCTAACATTATTTATCAGTTGTTTCATATAATACATCAGACAACAAATATAAATATTTTTATACATCTTTGCATGTTGTATTTGAGATTTTTCAGTAAATTACTTTATGTTATGTACTTTGATTTGTATCATTATGTATAACATTGAATATTGGAATGATTGGAATATTTTACAAACTATAAAACATTTGAAAATTCTAATTTATAAATTACTGATAGCAAGTTTTATTTTATTACATAATATTTGTTGTATTTGTACAAAATTGGTCTGTTTAACTTAATACTAAATTATAAGCAATGAGTATTTGTGTAAAGCAATTTATGTGTACAAAATATAAGCTTATAAATATATAAACTGAATAGAGTGTTTTATTGTAGCATATTTGTGGACTCTTTGTATTGTGATCTTAACATAGTACATGGACATAATATAATACAAACAAACCAGTGTATTGTTAAAACAAGAGCTCCCCACTTTTACAAGGTTCTCAAGCCTTATTTTGTATACATTAACAAACATATTGATTGCATCATTGATAAACTGGAAATTTTTCATCATATAGAAGGCTTTGTGAGGTACTGCCATATCCCTAATCACTTATATAGAAGCAGTATCTATGAGAACTATATACTTGTTATTCATATATTGCAGTCACATCACTTATTTAATTCAGGAACATTTGTGAAAATTATATTCATAAAACGTTTAAATACCTGTAATAATTAGTATATTAGTTCTGATATTCACATAAATTCAAATTTTCCTGAATTTTTGAAATTCCATGTATTCTTTTATATAAATTACAAAATATTTATTTGCATGCATTTTGTGTACATTATGTATTAAGACTATTTCTTAAATAAAATGTCATATATTGTTTAAACTATAACAAATTTGTGTTTTACATATATTGTTATCTAGATATAATTTCATAAGTGTGCAATTAAATAGAAATTTTCTTTATTCAATAATTTTAAAAGTTATAAGTAAGTTTTACTATCAATAATATAATGTTTGCAATCTAAATTATTCTCTTCACTTTTTTTTTTTTCTATACATATAAAGTATCTCTAAATATTATTATATTTGTACAATAGAATATATAATACTCTGTTCAACAGTGTGCATTATAACAACTAGCATGTAATACTAAACTTCTCATTTGCAAAATACATGTCATAGAATGCACATAATAGAATAATATTTATTAGATATGTCTTCTGTTTTCATTTATACATTTTTTAATTTTATTTTATGAATTTTCAGGCTTTTATACAGCAATTCAGACTTCTCAAAAGAAGAACAGTTATTGGTAGAACATATTTTGAGCACTTATACCTCAAAACTTGTGAATGCACCTTCTGATAATAAAACAATAGATACTAATAAAAGGTTACAATTTACAATTATTATATTTTGAAATTTACTTTATATATTATATATTCTTTTTAATATAAATTTTTTATATCTATAAATATTTGTCTTTCTGTCAAAGATATGCGGATTGCACATCTGACTGTCATTCAGGAAGCATTGAAAATACAAGAAATGTGAGAGAATATGCTACTGTGGATATAAGCCCCACTGTGTCCGATATGGCTGATTCTGGTTTAGAAACTGGTTCTGTAAGTCCACATGAAAATACAACATCTGAGAATTCAAGTACCGATTTTGAAGAACTACAAGTCACAGAATATAATTCTGGAAATGATGAATTGGATAAAACACGTGCTAGACGTGTACATAACAAAAATCAAAAACTAGTTATAAAAAATGAGCACAATAATTCGACTAACAATTGTGACAATACATGCCACAAGAAGAATCTAGTAGACTCAAGCTTAATGGAATGTAGTTCAAATGATCAACGTGCAACGAGTTGTTCTTTCACCTCAGAACAACCACAATTAGATTCTTCTAGTTTATCCATGGAAAATGCTCAAAAAGCAAAATTACATACAGATGAAATTTTTCAATATGAAAACCAAGTACTTAGCGACCCATTTTATGAGTCAGACTGTGGAAGTGATGAAAATGAATCTTTTGAATTTATTAATCTTGGGAATGCATCTTCTGTAAACACCGATATAGATCAAAGTTGCACAAAAGAAGAACCTTCGAAAAAATCACAAGATATTAATGTGTGTCATTCTAATCATCCAGAAGTTGAGAATGTTCAATCCGAAAATACAAATCATGAAATATCACATGATATACACAGTCAAAAAAGTTCCTGTAGTACAAGTAACTATTACTTTATTGATGCTTCAACACTTAATGATGAAATAGAAGTTCCAACATCCAGTGTAGTAAAAAATAAATGTTATGACGAAAAGTCACAACCACATATTTCTTATTCTTCTAAATATGTTGTAAGCACAACTAATGACGTTGCCGAAGAGCAACATTATAAATTTACACCGCTTAAAGCAACTAATTTACAAACAGGACATGAGAAAATAGCAGAATTCGAAAGAGAATTAAAACTTACCGAATATCTAGAACCACTTACGGATACGCGAAAGATAAGAAGAACTGATTCTATCTCTGAAGATAAAATAAATGTTGAAACAAATAAAGAATCTTTAGCTGTAGAAATTAAAGAAGTAGACAGTGGTGAAAGTGCACATCCTTCTCCTTGCCCTGACAATAATAAAAATATAAATAATGATCGACATGTTATATCACGAATAAGTAATGACAATGCAAATGTGACAATACAAACTAAAAAAGAGATAATTGAACAAACGAACGATAAAGACGCTAATTTAGTGGATGATACACGACGACCTTCTCTTATCAGAAGGAATACATTTGAGCTGGGCTCAAATGACGAAAAGCTTTCAGTGCTAAGGCAAGAATATGAACGACGGCAAGGTAATCTTGTATTTAAAAATGCTATACCTCAATATTCAGGACATCGTGTTGACGGCGATTCATGTTTTAATCCACCAGACGAACTTTCAATCCCGATAAGCAATGTATTAAGTAAGTTTCCATTAGATGTTCAAATTCCAAGTAGTAGTCAGTATCATACAATGCCATATCTTTCATTAGAAAATGGAAAATATGAAAATAATCAGACACCACCAGAAAATAATAATTCTCTGAAAAATGAAACTAATATTATATATCCAGTAACTAAAAGTGCGAGTGATGAAGTAGTTATGGATTATCATATGGAACTGGACAATGGTTCGAATAATTGTAGTAACAGTTTACCTATTACATTAAGTTGCATTATAGAAAAGGAGAGTAGAACCGATACAATGAAGAAAACTAAATGTGACGAGACTATGCCTATTATTTCTGGTGGTGTTAGCACTTCAGACTATTCTAAGCCTACTGATAGCCCTACTGTGCGTCGAAAGACGGAGTCTACACCGATTGTTTCTGGTGGTTCTGTTATTATGAACGAACCTGAGGTAAAAATGAGATCTACGAGAATGTCTTCATCTATGACTGCATGGGTAGTTGATATGAGCGATTGCAATAAAAATGAACCCAAGTCATTGAACAATAGTCATACTGGAATGTCTCAAAGTTTTTCAAGTTCAGAATGCATGAAGAAACCAACAAGAAAAATAAGGGGTCATGAGAAACATGGTAGCTTAGGATTTTTCGTTAATTTGAAAGATATGGACTGTAAAACTGTTTTGCAACAACAAAATTGTTCAATAGAAAAAAAAGAACAGAACGAATGTAGTAAATCTTATTGTGAATTTTACGTTGATATGTCTAGTACAAGTAATGCACCAAAAAGTAAAAAATTAGAGGTAGAAGAAACTACCGTAAAATCTGAAAAATCTAATATAAGTGGTGATAAGAAAAACATTTTCTCGATGTTTATTGATTTAAGTGATCCACCGAAGAACAAAGAAAATATGCAACCATCACACGGAAAAAGTTTTTCGACATACTCTGACAAACAAATAGAAGTGAAGTCGGATGATACTAATTCAAGTGAGAATAGTATCACAACGAAAGAAGATCAATCGTCGACTGAACAAAAATGCGTTAGAGAAAAAGCTAAACCAAGTGTTTTCATGTATATAGAGTCTGATTCTCCAGTAGTAAGAAGAAGAACATTGTCTTCATCACGACCAACATTCAAACGACATTCTTGGAACGTTGATAAAACTCAAAGTGTTAACAACAATGGACATGTTGCAAAAGAATTAATATTTAGAAAAGAACATAAACGCGCACATAGTCTGTCCGTAGATCGGGGAGACTTAAAGAAGCTACAAGCAAAACCCAGTTCTTCAAGTCACTCTTTAAGTGATACAGCAAAACCAGAATCTGTTACTCAGAAAAATTCCAAAATCCTTCAGGAAGGTAACAATGGTCCAAATAATATGGACACATCGTCAGAAGATGTCTTTGAGTTTGATGTGAGAGATACACCCCCAAATTCTCACGTTGAAGTGATCAATGAGGAACTTCGGGTCAGTATAAAAGAACACGACTACACAGAACTAAAAACTGAAAGAATCACGGAAAATCTAAATACTGCCGATGTTAAAACATATGAGGACGAATATTCAGAAACTTCAGCATGGGAGAAAACATGTACAGAGAGTACCGAGGGACAAACACGCAAAAACGAAACATTTGACATCAGTAGTGGCAGTGGACCATCACCTGATAGTGATAATCATGATTATGAATTATCAGAACTATTAAATGGAGAAGTGCCAAACATTAATCGTCCACAAGTAGTTCCTGCCGTAGGTAGTAAAATATCAGAAACACATAAGTCTTTAAATGAAACAATTAAAAAAATAGAAAGTGAATTGAAAAGTTCAGACTATGTGAAGCCAGAAACAGAATATGATAACCATAATATAACATCTAAGAAAAATGAGCGAACTACAGGACACAATACGAAGACAACTTCCAACTTCGTTCGATTATCTGATCTAGATAAAACACCTGCGGTTTCCCTTTCGACGGATATGTTGACTGTGAAAGAAGATAGAAGTACCTATCGTATGTGCAATAGTATCCCAGAGATTTCCTGGATTGAAAGCAAATTAGTAATGTCTAGAACTAATGGATCTGTTAGGCCACTCCCCAGAAAATTTACTTCAGTCATGAGCACTTCCCTTCCATCTAAACAAAAGTCTCCCCTTGAAGATCTAACAGGAGAATATGATGGAGAAGGAATTATATCAGAATCTGATTTAAGTAGTATGCAAAGTAGCATGGGCCGTTCTGGTGCTGGTATGTAATTTATTATATTAAAAATACGATCTAATTGATTATAAATTAATGAAATACTAATTATTACTTTTTTTCTTTAGAGGGAAGTACAGAGGAAACTGAAACATCAAGTTTAGTAGGAAGTAGACCATACAATAGATTAGGAGAAGATCTGTTAAGAATGTTCTTAGAAGAGATAAATCCAGATGTAACAATCGATGTAGCTGGACGTCGTATAAGAGCGCACAAATGTATATTAAGTTCTCGGTGTCAATATTTTGCGGCAATTCTTAGTGGAGGTTGGATCGAAAGCGTAGGAAATGTTATTTCTCTGCAAGGATATTCTTATGATGCGGTACATTTTGCACTGTGTCACATATACAGCGGAGAAAGTAACATACCAGATTCTATAAGTATAGTTGAATTAGCTACATTAGCTGATATGTTATGCTTGGAAGGTCTTAAAGAAATTATTGGATATACGCTTAAAGTTAAATATTGTCATCTCTTTCACAAGGTAAGATCGTAAGTTTCCATACTGTTAAAAAAATTTCTTAACTGATATAATAATATAAATTTATATTATTTTATAGCCTTGCCAAATATGTGCCGTTGGTGTATTAGAATGTATGCCTTTAGCAGCAGCTTACGGTCTTGACGAAGTGTACCGAAAATCTCTTCGTTGGGTTACGCGACATTTCGTACGAATATGGCCATGTAAAGCATTTGCTACGCTTCCAAAAGAGCTCATGGCAAAATGTTATCTTCAACATATTGTACATATGGTATGTATTAATTAATATATAATTCTTTAAGTTTAAATAATTGTTTCTTTTGTTTTTATGGCAAATAACAGTCTACGGATAACGTGCTCCAAACTATGATGGATTGTGATAAACTTCTTGCAACTTTGCCAAATGTTCGTTGGGCTGAACCAGTGTTCAGAATGGTCTCAAATTTATTGGAAAGTTCAGTGAAATTTTTGTCGGATAATTTCTCAGGAGTTCTAGGAAATGAAAACTTCCAATCTCTTGGCCGAGAGTTAACATGGAACATCAGCCGATTAGAAGATAATTTTTTAGCGGCTGCCGAACGTTTACCTCCTGAACAAGCATGTAAAAGTTATTCAAAATTGCATAAAATGTTAACCTCGGCACAACAAGACGAAGTTCAAGAAAAAATTAAGTGGGGACCTTTGTTTGTTGATTTTTTGAAAAAAATTCAAAGTCGGGTAGAAAAATGCTTGGTTAGAGATGCCGCTCGAGCTGCTAGAACTACTACATGGTTAAAAATGGACTTGGAACTTCGACGTAGAATACAAGAATTGGCTTGTCTTGTAATTTTACCTAATGAAACATCGAAACGTCCATCGAGACATTCTAACTTTATAAAAGTAAATAATGTTATATAAGATATACAAAATAGTATTTGTAGCATCTTTTATTATTCAAACTTTTTAAAAAATATTTAATCTTATAGACTCCTAGGCCAGCATCAAGTCGCTCAACAACCACAAACAGAAGTTTAGATTTGTACCGGCTTACCTAACAGTTCTCCTGTACAAAATCAACCTCAGTTTCCCGATCTTATGAAAGTTAGATTGGCTCAAGCACAAGCAGCAATTGCACATCAACTTCAGCAGCAACAACAGCAGCAGCAGCAGCAGCAGCAACAGCAACAGCCACAACATCATCATCAACAACAACAACAACAACAACAATCGAAGAAAGTATTTAACAAACCAAAAAGTGATCCATTGGAACGTAAAATACAAAATGATAAACAAACCACTACAGAAACAAATAGACCGAAATCGTGGCCTAATAAATTAGAGGTAACTTTTTAACACTACCATGGTACATAATACGGAATGTTGTGATTTCTTAAATTATATTTTAAACATTGTATACAATTTTTGTACGAATTTCGAAGTTAAAAAAGATATAATGTTTTTCAAAATTGTTTATATATTAATTTTTAGGTGAAGTCGAGATATTTAGAACCTAGAAATAAATCTGTACCAAAAGAAACTACACAACCAGTACATCCAGAAAAAATTATGGTACAACAACGACGAAAAATAATGATATCATCTTCAGATTCATCTCGCACTTCCAGTCCAGCAATGAAACGAGCTACCGATAAAAAACCATTAGCTAAAATAAAATTACCTATAAAGAAAGATGTAAAGGCACTTTCTTCAGATAGTTTAACAGAATCCAATGCCAGCAGAACGAATACCAAAGCTGATTCAATCAGTAAAAGTTGCGGTATTACACGTCCAGAATCTCCGTCTTTTAAACAAAAAAGTTCGGAGATAGGCTTATCTGTAGATTCTTTAGCAGAATCGAAGAACAAGTCAACAACTGTTAAGAAGAAGACCAATAAAATGGATACTTCAATGTCCACAGATAGTCTCATGACTGAAATAACTACAACCCCCAAATCGAATACATCCAATAAACTTTCACCAACTTTAGGGAAAACAATAAATAAAGCACAATCTTGTGATAAAGGAGCAAAGAAGAGTTCACCACCGATGCAGCAAAGAAGTCCACTTACAGCGACAAGAACCATAAGATCACGTAGATCATTAGAAAGTTCAACTGCAGCCAGTAGAAGCAGAGCTGCAGCAATTAGTGCGTATCATTTGCGAAGAAATCTTCTAGATGCTGCAAAAACACCAGATATTCCAAGTAAGTCATTAAATAATGTATCGTGTAAAACGGTAAACACACGGCCGACACAATCCACAGTTAATGCTATAAGAGAAAAGAAAGAAGGAGTGCCGACCCAACAAAGCTCCGAAAGTCCTAGTAAAAGATCTTCCCCTAAATCATCTGGCACTAGTAAAATAAATAAACCTACGGTTACTAATAAAAGGACAACTACTACAAAGACCTCTTGCGATGAGAAAGTTAAAAATAAGTGCCATAATGGGGAAGTTCCAAAACAACCAACAGTGGGTTCTAGATCAGGAACCTTTTTGAAAGATGAACCCACAATTCTTAAAAAAGCAGATATTAAATCTTCTCAAATTAACACTTAAATTTATGAACTGGTTGCTATGTAAGTTTTTATACATACATAGCGCCATTAGTTTTACGATTATACATATAAACTTATTGTCTTTAACCACAAACGTGATAACTCCAACTGCGAAATCGTACTATGTGTAAAAATAGAGTTATATATAATTTTAATTTAAAGCAAGTTGCAGTTGACATTAATCATCAAAAGAAATATATTTAAAATGCATTTATTAGATATATAGTAAAGTGCTATGATTTTGTTGTAACGTTAAAGGTAACTGTAAAATGAAATATGGCACTAGAAATATTTAAGTTAAAAATTATTATATTCCGTTTTCCCATTTATCTTGATCTCTAACAATGTGGAAATACGAGTTTTGGGGATATCTTGAGTATCTTTTAAATTCAATTGAAATATTATGCAACTAGTATATTGGTAAAAAAATATCACTTTCAATCATAAATGCAGCTTAATGTCCCACCCAATTTTCAACCGATGTGCGCATTAATATGTCATAGTATTACACACTGCATATTCATAGAACATAGATGTATCATGGCCAGTTATACAATATATTTAGATAGACCTTTCTTTCTTCTACATTAAAGAGCCATATTATCCAAAATTGTTTTGTAGAATTATTTACTAATTTTTACTAGTTGCAGTGTATATGTAAAGTAATTATTTCTTACCATTTAATGTTGCCATCTTACCAACTAATTCTTATTGTAAGTAGAACTCCGTTTACCCTCCAATGATCCTTATTATTACTGAATTATATGTAGTTATTATATTTATTTATTAAATTTATATCTCTATTTTGCAATGTACATTTCTATGCAATATTTGTATCTAGTCATTTATATATTTTAAATATTTTACTTTTATGTAATGTTAATAAATAACTCAATATAATGTTAAAGAATGGTTTAATTCTTCAAGACATCTATTTTTTTTAAATTTTAGTATAATCATAAAAATGGTAGGGCACAATTTTTATAAAATTTGTTCGGTGTTCTATTCTATTTTGTTTTTACATATGATCATATTCAGCCATAAATATATGACAATAATACACAACTAAGTTTCATACATCTAATAATGTTCCCCGTGGTCTTGCTCTTTTTGGATCTGCTTCTGGAGGAGGCATAGCTTTCCGTTTATTCATTCCTTTTCTTTCTAATTGTTTTTCTATTATTCGTGCATTGTTAGCATATGAATCAGCTACTTCTCTCTACAAATATAAAATATACATTTTAAACTGTTGTAAAATGTTCATTACTAAATTATGAGCCAAATTTTACACAAGATTTAGAATGAATTTTTCACCTTTAAATATTAAGTTTATAATATAGTATTGTATTTTTATTATGCATAATATTAGTATCTAACATAGTCATTTTGTGTAACATTTCATAATTCATTTCATTTTATTTAATAAGATTTAGAAATTTTTTTAGATAAATAGTTTTTTGTAAATAATTATAACAATGTATTTTACCTTAATTTTAGAAAAAATTAATTTATACATAAAGCTTGAAAATATAACACAGAAATTAGTAACTTACCGCCTCAATTTCATCTTCTTCCTCATCAATAGTAGACACAGTAACAGAACTGAATTTTCCCATATTTTTTGTGTGCTTTGTTACCATTATTTTCTTTGGTTTTTCAATAGCTACTTGATTATATATATCTGTCATTGGACCTTCACCAGAACTTTTAATTACTGCACCTTTTACAATAAATACAATGTTTGTTGCTTGATCATGTTTATAGTAAAGAAAAAGACCACATCTGTAAAAGTGTCCACATGCATTAAATTGCTATGACAATTTACAAAAATTACATATAATAAAGATATACATTTAACATTTCTAATTTTCGAAATTATTTTTAAATGTTCAAAAAATAATGAAAATGTATTTAGACATAAAACAAAGTATATACTTTTTACATTTTTGACGATATTGTTTTTCTATTCCTTCAGAACGTTTTAAATATACAATTTCATCTTGTTCACAAGTCATCTTGTGGGCATGTTTACTTCCATCAATAACTCGTGCACCATCTCTTTTTCTCAAAGGCAATTTTTCTATGGCACAATCTATAATAAGATGTAAAAATATTTATGTATCATTATTCATAATTTTCAAGAAAGTAAAAAATAATATAATTAATAAATGAAGTGAATCTAACCTAAAATTAATGTCATTTGTCCACATAAACAATAATAAATATGTAGTGGTTTTTCTTCGCTATATTCTTCTTGATCTTTTGTATCAGAACATATTATACTTCTTGAAACAACTTTCGGCATTTTTACTTTAAATTATATAGTTAAATTGTAGGTTAATAATATTTTGTTTTCATGATGACAGTTTGACAATTTAGAAATCTTAATTTTTCTGTATCAGTTTAAATAATATTGATACTGCAGAAAACATAATTACAACACAATTAACGGTTTGAACTAAAGCTAAATATGGTAAAAATACAGGCGAAATATAAAATAAATCAATCACCCAATGTATCTTCGTCCTATGTTTTGGAAAACTTTAGTTTCCATTATCATTTTAGTGTCACTTTCAATATTATCAGTTTTCTCCACGTTTATTAAAAATCCTAATTAAAAGTGATTAACAATATCAAAAACAGTTTAGAATTGATAGCTTAAAATTATCATATTAAATATTCATTTCGTCCTAGCATCAGCATTGTGATGTCTAAAGATACAGTCGCAAAAACGCGTGAGAATACGAACGTAATTACATGCGCATCCACAATGTAACCTCTTATATGCAATAGTATGTTAATTTTAATAAAATGCGTATAAGCATGTATTAAATGAGGTATGAAATATCCAGAGAGAACTTATAAAAATTAATAAAAGTGAAGTATAAGAAATAAGCAATAATAACAAAAGATATTATTAAAATGATTTTATTTTGATTGAAACCGCAAGATGGTACTAGTTACGCGTAAGTATGGTGTCATCTGGTGGCGAAAATTAGGTATCATTCTGGATGATCTGAGATTTTCCATTTCCTCCTACGGTTGAGAATTTCACTCGACCACACTCCGTGTTCGGTCGCAGTACGGTGTTTGACGCGCAGTCGAAGGAAGCCAGTCGAAGCAAACACAAGATGCCAATGTTGGGTAGACAATGAATTGCGCGACGTTCGCCAGTAAAACAATATAATGTGAATAGTGACAAATCGGCGTGATATGGTGTATAATCGAACTATAATCGAAATAGCATACGCACGCGGTAATGTGAGCAAAAAGTAAAAAGGCTAAGAAAAAAGTGCAGTGACTCTACATTTGATTGGCGGTGCACGCAGAGCGGCCCTTCGTGTACATACATATGTACGTATATACACATGCTCGTATACACAAAAGACTCACACGACAACTCTTTCTCTCTTTCTCTCTGCATTCCTG